TTACTCATATTGGCAAGAACACAATTCATAATTGTAGATGAAGAAATCATGAACTTACGTAAAGAGAATAATAAACCCAGAAAATTAACTTGAATTGCAAAGCCAAAATCTTCAAAACGAACTTGAGAAATCAATAATTGCTAGGGTTGCAAATTAATCTCCAAAGTTACAAAGCAAAAATAGAATAATAATGTCTAACCCCCAAAAACGAGGTTTACATGTCCTATTTATAGAAAACAAATCCTAAATAAAAAAGAAAACAAATTAAGGAAAGTTTTGTTCAGGTACGCGTCTTCGATCCACGAGACTGACTTACGGACCGTCGATGGATCTACGGTCCGTAAGTCCCTTCCGTCACTCAGGACTTAGAAAATATTTCAGCATCCAACAATCAGCTTCTCTGAAGCAAACGACGGACCAGCAGCACGGACCGTAGATCGACCTACGGTCCGTCAATCCCTTCCGTAGCTCCATACTTAGAATCTTCAAAAATTAGGTACTGGAACCCTCGCAGTCTCACTTTACGGATCAACAGTACGGTCTGTAGATCAATATACGGACCGTCAATGGGCACCGTGGTTCCACACTTGGTCAAATCTCCCTGATTTGTCCTCAACACCATGCCTGCTGATCTACGGTCATCACCTACGGACCGTGAATGGACCTACGGTCTGTAGATGACCTCCGTGGATGCCTTTTTCTGCATTTCCTTCAGCTGTCTCTAAACTTCCGCGCCTGAACACCTTTCCTGCAAAACATGATAAAACACATAAAAACCAATATAAAAAGGCCCTAGACACACACAACTTGTAAGTGAAATGTATTAGAAATACCGTAAACTCACGGTATATCACTCTCCTGCGTCACGGAGCGGTCACAGATCGTTCTGCCTCAAAATTTATTTCGCGACCAAATAATTAAATGCATCTCCGCGTCGTGGACTTGCTTCCAGGCAGTGATTTCTTGATTATTTCTCATGTTTAACTATCTAAAAACACTCCTAAACATCATGAGATCTTTCCTATCACAAATCACAATCTTTGAATCCATAAATTCAAATTCAAGGAAAGTTAAGAGCCAAGTCAAGAGAAGTTCATAGAGTCTTCCAAAAGTCTTTTGCAAATGTTTTAACTTTATTTTAAGACCTGAGTTTTGAGTTGAGTAAAGAGTAAAGATTGAAGTTCATCTCTTCAAAAGAGTATATGGGGACTATGTATTCCCAAAGAGTAAAGAGGTTTTCACATTTAAACAAGAAGAAAACTGAGATTTCCAAAAAAGCCTTTGAGCTAGTTTTCAGTAAAGAGTAAATGTTTTCACAATTAAGCAAGAGAGGAAACACTGATTTCCAAGAGAGCATTTGGGTTAGTTTTTGAGTAATTATCTCAAACCACAGAGTTATGTTTTTAAACATATGAGCTAGTATATTTTGGGAGTAGTATTGAGCACCGATATGGGGGAGAGTTCAGACAACTCCCAGCCCCCATAAACCATGCAGCCATCATGGGTAGAAAAGTGTAATACTTTTTAGATGATTCCTTATTGCTTTCTAGCATAGACTAGTGGATCCACTTAATAGTTAGGTTCTATACCCTCTGCAAGGTATAGGACGGCCCTGGCAGCGTGAGGCAAAACGATGTATTATCACAATAGCTCTTAAGTGATGGTTGTCGGTTAGGGAAACTCCTACATCAGTATTTTGTATTCTTATATACATTGAGTTAATTGTATTTTTATATACATCCAGAGTTCATTTGTATCTTTGCATACATACAGAGTTATTATTGTATTTCTAAATACACAAAGTTGTTACCCATGTTTTAAAAGTTTTTCTTTATATTGCATATATAATATTGTTTTATATTGAAATGAGTTAAGTTGAGTTGAGTTGAGTCCATCAGTTCCTTTCAAGCTTATGTCTTGTTTTAGCATTCCCCTCGCATGCTCGTACATTCAATGTACTGATGCCAGTTGGCCTGCATCTTTTTATGGTGCAGATTGAGGTAACCAGTATCAGGATCCAGCGCATCGTTGATCCAATTGAGCTTCAGAGTTGTTGGTGAACCTCCTTGCTTCTGGAGGATCCCCTTTTCATTACTTTATCATTTTAGTTCATTAGGATATCGTGGGTCTTGTCCCGACGTCCATCTCAGTTGTTAGAGGCTTCATAGAGACGTTAGTTCTTGAGTGCCATTTTGGCTAGTGAATGTTCTTTATACATTCTAAGTTATTTATTGAGCAGTTCAGTTTACTTTTTAAAATATTTTATCATGAATAAGTCTTTCGCTAAGAGTTAAGCCAGGCCAAGGGTTCGCTTAGGGCTAGCAATGGTTCTCGAGTGTCAGTCCCACCCAGGATGTAGGCTCGAGGCGTGACAAAGATAAGGTGCGATATAACAATTTTATGTTTCAGGTTGAAAAGAAAAAACAACAACTGCACATTGGTATAACTTATGTTAGATTATATATATATATTATTTTCCATTTTTGTAACAAAACAGTGTATAAAGTTATGCTAATTTTGGATAATTCCCTTTTAAACCAACAACCAAATAACCCTTGAGTAATTTTTTTTTTATCTGTTCAAATTTTGATGAATAAAGTTACTTACATGAATGAGTTAAGTAAAGGATTTTGAGTTCACGGGTAATCATGCTTCCCTCCAATGGTGTCAATAGTGATTGGGTGCACTTCTACCAGTGAGATAAGAAATTCAATTCCTATGTCCTACTAAATTAAGTACTTTTTAAAGGGTAATGCTAAATGACCAGAAATTTTGGCCAGAATTTGGTCAGAAATTTTAAAAAACTATCATATTTTTTTTATTTTAAAATAAACTGATATTTTCCCCATGTTTTAGTTAAAATATATTAAAGTTAAAAGGGTAAAAATATTTAAAAAGGTAAAATAACATTAAAAAAATACCATTCTGGTCAAATTCTAGCCAAAAAGTTTTTCCCTTTTTAAATTTCTTTATGAGATAATTACATTATAATGCAGTCCATAAAAGTTAGCATACATAATTGGGAGCCCTACATAATTTAGTCAAACTTTTCAATGCTTACCTAAATTGGCTCAAAGGAAAAGTTTAAGGGATCTAGAGGGCTGTCATGAGCCCCCAACTCCCTCCCAATCAATCCACATTCAGAGCTAAATGATAGTATTTGATGAGACAAATTCAATGCAACAAGAATTCCATCCACAAATTCAAAAAATCACACATTACAAACATGATTACCGTAGCGTACCAACAATTTAAAAAAAATATTTTCTAATCAAAATCTATTATGATTGATGATGTCTCACTTATCAGGATGATACACCATCACTAGATTTACCTCTCTACAAATTTTCGGAAGATTCCATCTTGATGTTTGAGAGAAATCAACACACCATCACTAGATTTACCTCTCTACAAATTTTAAGAAGATTCCATCTTGACGTTTGAGAGAAATCAACTGACACAATTTGACGAAATTTTGATAGTTGTGTATACCATTTGTATATCTTTATATACCAGATTGTCTCTTGGACTAAAAATTTGTACGGTCAGTTTTGAACTAAATTTTTAGAAAATCAGTTAGATAATGATACTTTTATGAAATTTTCCATTTCTTTATTTGATTTATTCTTCCAGAATTACCAATTCTCTAATTGGTATCCCTATTATCCTTTTGTAATACTAATTTAATTAAATAAAAAAGGAGTATTAAAATTAGTAGCAGCGGAGAATATAACATAGTCCAACTAATCATAATATCGTTAAATATATATATACCTATACACACTAAACTTTTTTTAAAAGTTCAAGTATTCATTATCTCATTTTAAAATTGAAGAATCTAATCATTTGCGGAATTGCCACACAATAATCCATATGGTAGCAATTGCGTCGCTACTTTGAAAAATCAATTTTATGGAGTCGTACTTGCTTTTAAAAAGGTAATTATGCTTGCAATTGCGTGGAAAATACAAGGGCAAGTCACCATTCCAAAGACATCAACTTGCAATTATTCTACTCTTTTAATAAGCTGCTGTGGGGTCTTTTTTTCTTTTTCTTTTTGAAGCTACTCCCTTCGTTTCATATTAAAAACTCCATCTCTTCTTATTTATATGTCATTATTTTAGATTTCAGATTTCTTAAGAAATTATGTAAGTTTTTCATTGTATCTTTATTTTGTATTCTCTTAAAGTTAAGTTTTTAATAAATGTATATAATTAGTTTATTTTAATTAATTAAATTGGTCAATAAACATGAATTAATCATTTAGTTTTCATATGTTGATCAAATTCATACTTTTAAGGTTAATAACTCTTAAGGGTAAACTAAGAAGAATATTGTTATCTATGTATTGGTTTTGTGAAATGACGAATATTAACAAACATATATATATATATATATATATATATATATATATATAGGAACCGAGGGAGTAGACACTTTCTATTTTACACGGTAATAAAAAATTATTAATAGATTGATCAATTTTACTATTTTATCTTTTGTTCACATTAATTAGACTCTTGAAAAAGAAATTCTTAGATCTATATTAATTATAGAGGTAAAATAAAAAGAATTTAATTAATTCTATCTTAATTTTAATAAGCGATCAAGTAATAATACATAACAAATACTTTTAATAAAATGTCTATTTAATATGAGTCGAAATAGTATGATGACTGGGTAGGAGACTAGAGAAGTGATACTCATTTTGTTCCTTTTTAACAACGAAGAAAATACAATATTTTTTATTTATTATATCCTCAATTTATTGAGAGAACTAATATTTTTAAAAGTTATAAACTTTTTTAATGAGTAAATTTATTTTGAAATTATATTAAGTAATATAGATAAAATGATAAATTTATGACGTCAATTAAATTATTATTTTCTTAACAAGGGTACGAAGCAACAAATAAGTGGCCATTGAAAAGGCATAAACTTTCAATTATTGTACTGTCCTAACTCCTAAGCTGCTTGGGGAAATAAATAGGAAGACTAGAAAAGAAAGACTTGAGTGGAGTCAACACCCATCACTTGCATTTCATATTTAGCAATTGAAGCCTCTGTTCTTAGTTGGAAGAATCAGAAAAAATGGCGAACGTAGCAGTAGAATTTCTCGTTGAGAACTTGATGCAGCTGCTGCGGGACAACGCAGAGCTAATTAGTGGAGTTAAAGAGGCTGCTGAGAGTCTACTTCAAGATCTAAATGATTTCAACGCCTTTCTTAAGCAAGCTGCCAAGTGCCACATCAACGAGAACGAAGTTCTGAGAGAACTCGTCAAGAAAATCAGAACAGTGGTTAACTCTGCTGAAGATGCTATTGATAAATTTGTGATTGAAGCTAAGCTACACAAGGATAAGGGTATGACCAGAGTATTAGACCTTCCCCATTATAAAAGAGTCAGGGAGGTAGCTGGTGAGATCAAAGCTATACGAAACAAAGTCAAAGAGATCCGACAGAATGATGCCATTGGACTTCAGGCCCTTCAAGATGATGATTCATCTGCCAGAGGTTTTGAAGAAAGAAAGGTATCACATCCTTAACACTCTTTTTTAAAAAAATTGGGGAAATGGGAAAGTGAGCAATCTAGTTGCAAAGATCAATATAATTGTGTCGTTTAACTTGGTTTCAGCTCGCATTTGTATCCTCCAACTTTAGGTCTACACTTAAACTTGTATAAAATTGAATAAGTAGACACACGTATGTAACATAATACATGTAGGACGCCACATAGGATATGAATTGCTATGTAGGACGCCACGTAATATGTATGAGTCTATTTGTTTGACTTTATATAAGTTTAAGTGTCTATTCGACACAAGACAAGTTACATGACATGTTTATGTATAGTGCCTTTATTGAGAGTACATGTATGTATGTATGTATGTATGTACCACTCTTGATAAATGTCACTCTTCTATCTGTGCTTTTTTAGCTCTTACTTGTTCACATATCTAATATTTATCTTGGCCGTATTAATCTAAAGCCTCCAGTGGTAGAGGAAGATGATGTGGTTGGATTTGACGAAGAAGCAGATCTTGTAATCAAACGCCTTCTTGGAGAATCAAATCGTCTAGAAGTTGTTCCAGTTGTTGGTATGCCTGGTCTCGGCAAAACGACCCTAGCAAATAAAATATACAAGCATCCTAAAATCGGGTATGAATTTTTTACTCGTATTTGGGTTTATGTATCTCAATCATACAGGAGAAGAGAATTATTTCTCAACATCATCAGCAAATTCACTCGAAATATGAAACAATATCATGGGATGTGTGAGGAGGATTTGGCTGATGAAATACAAGAATTCTTGGGAAAGGGAGGAAAATACTTGGTTGTCTTGGATGATGTATGGTCGGATGAAGCTTGGGAACGTATCAAGATAGCTTTCCCAAATAACAACAAACCGAATCGAGTATTGTTGACCACTCGAGATTCCAAAGTGGCTAAACAATGCACTCCCATACCTCATGATTTAAAATTTCTGAGTGAAGATGAAAGTTGGATATTACTGGAGAAGAAGGTTTTTCACAAGGATAAATGTCCTCCTGAATTGGTGGTACCATCTGGAAAGAGCATAGCAAAAAAATGTAAGGGACTACCCCTTGCGATTGTTGTTATCGCAGGAGCACTAATAGGGAAAGGCAAGACACCAAGAGAGTGGAAACAAGTGGATGATAGTGTGAGTGAACACCTCATAAATAGAGACCACCCTGAGAATTGTAACAAACTGGTGCAAATGAGTTATGATCGTTTACCTTATGACTTGAAAGCGTGCTTTTTATATTGTAGTGCATTTCCCGGAGGCTTTCAAATCCCTGCTTGGAAGTTAATCCGTTTGTGGATTGCAGAAGGTTTCATTCAGTATAAAGGCCACTTATCTCTTGAGTGTAAAGGAGAGGACAACTTGAATGATCTCATCAACAGGAATCTAGTGATGGTAATGGAAAGAACGTCTGATGGTCAAATCAAAACATGTCGTCTTCATGACATGTTGCACATGTTTTGCAGGCAAGAAGCTATGAAGGAAGAAAATCTTTTCCAAGAAATAAAGCTAGGATCTGAGCAATATTTTCCTGGAAAACGAGAACTATCCACGTACCGTCGCTTATGCATTCATTCCTCAGTTTTAGATTTTATCTCTACGAAACCTTCAGCTGAACATGTGAGGTCATTCTTATCTTTTTCTTCAAAAAAGATTGAGATGCCATCTGCTGACATCCCAACCATACCAAAAGGCTTTCCGTTGCTAAGAGTTTTGGATGTAGAATCCATCAACTTCAGTCGCTTTTCCAAGGAGTTTTACCAGTTATATCATTTGAGGTATGTTGCTTTTTCATCTGACTCAATCAAGATTCTTCCTAAACTCATGGGAGAACTTTGGAACATCCAAACCATCATAATTAACACGCAACAACGCACTCTTGATATTCAAGCAAATATATGGAATATGGAACGACTAAGGCATCTGCACACTAACTCTTCTGCTAAATTGCCTGTCCCTGTTGCTCCAAAAAATAGTAAAGTTACATTGGTAAATCAAAGCCTGCAAACTCTCTCCACAATAGCTCCCGAAAGCTGCACTGAAGAAGTGTTTGCAAGGACTCCAAACCTGAAAAAGCTGGGCATCCGTGGGAAAATAGCTGTGCTTCTTGATAATAAGTCTGCTGCGTCGTTAAAAAATGTGAAGAGGCTAGAATACCTTGAAAACTTGAAGCTGATAAATGATAGTAGCATTCAAACAGGAAAGTTACGCCTTCCACCTGCATACATATTTCCAACAAAGTTGAGGAAGCTGACTTTATTAGACACCTGGTTGGAGTGGAAAGATATGTCTATATTGGGTCAGTTGGAACACCTTGAAGTCCTGAAGATGAAAGAAAATGGGTTTACGGGAGAGTCCTGGGAGTCTACTGGTGGTTTTTGTTCCCTACTGGTGTTGTGGATTGAAAGGACAAACTTAGTTACTTGGAAAGCATCAGCTGATGACTTTCCAAGACTTAAGCATCTTGTTCTCATCTGCTGTGATAACCTTAAGGAAGTCCCCATCGCCCTAGCTGATATACGCAGTTTCCAAGTCATGATGTTGCAAAATTCCACCAAAACAGCAGCAATATCTGCACGTCAAATACAAGACAAAAAAGACAATCAAATTCAACAAGGGACTAAAAACATTGCCTTCAAGCTTTCCATATTCCCTCCTGATCTCTGATTGTGTGCACTCCTCCTTCACAGGTCAGTTTCATATAATAAGATTGCAGAACTGACAAATCACAATCTTTTTTGACATTCAAAGTAGTACTCCCTTCGTCCATTTTTACTTGTCCACTATACTATTTTGAGATATCCAACAATACTTGTCCAGTTTATAAAATCAATGAATAATTGTCTATTTTACCCTTGCTATTAAAAACTATTCATTTTTCAATGTTTAGATGACTTATATTTAATAAGGGTGATTTGATAAAATTACTCATCATTTAATGCTTTTGAATCTCTGTGTCAAGTCAATAGTAGACAACTATTGTTGGACAGAGGGAGTATAAGTGATCATGTTGCATAGCCCTTCCGGCCTCTGATTATTGTGATTTGTGCAGGTCCTCAATGAATCACACTGCATGAGGGCTGGTACCCTAGCTTGGATAAAGAAAGAGCCTCTATCTATCAATTGTTTTCATAATTCTTGAGTGGATGTCCGTCTTTCATGGTTGTTGTCATCTTGATTGTGGCCATAGCTTGTATGTTCTTCATTTTGTGGTATGTTAATCTGTAAGAACAATGTATTTTGCATTCATCTATTCTGTAGTCTTTGGCTTCAGAGCTGTGTAATATTGTTAGAAATTATATGTATGGGGAGGTTCTAGGCTTGGATATTGTTTCGTTTGGAGGCTTGGAGGGAAGTATTATGAAAATACTTTCTCCTATACCTTCACCAGGTCAAATTGGAGGTCACTCTTGGTGGGATATACTATTAATCATGTGGTTGAGTTATAGTATTTTATGTAATCCCTTGTAAAGACTATTTATTTCATTTTAGTTAAATATAATAAAGTCTTTATTTAAATAGATCATTGTGTTAATATGTGTCTCCATTGCTTATATAGTAGACGATTTTTGCATATGGAGTTATTTAACTCATATGCGGAATATTAAAATTGTCGGTTCTTATACGTCATAAATTAAATATTCACAACAAAGATGAAGTTGGACAAACATCTTGATGATTGTAGCACAAGATTAAAGATAATTCGATCTTAATTATGAGAATGGTTAAATTTCAACTTCTTGTACTAGTACATTCCGTGTGTATTGAATGGACCAATTAGAGATGTTTGTTTATGTTCTGAATATTTATAAACAACTTCTCTAGTCCATTACGTGTACTTATACTGTTAACCTTGAAATAATTATTATGATCTATGTGGTTTGATTTATTATTTTAATCTATTAAAATGTGAGACTATATTATGAGTCAATATATTCCCAATAGATTGGCTAATGACAAATCACATTAGTGAGATAATAATTAGTTGATAGAACCATGTCTCAGACTTGAGATAGAAGACACCCTTTTATGGATACTTATAAGTTTTCACATGAAAACCCTGCAGGTGGATTGTATATCCGTCATGCGAAATAAGTTAAGTATAATAATAAAGAATTAAATTAGTCAATAATTAAATTATTCAGAAAATTTGATTTAATTAATTGGTGTCACTAATTCTAACATGAGGAGTTAAATAAGATGTAATGGTAGATTTCCAATTTAAATTAAGGAGTGAAAATAAATATTTTTAGTGGAATAATTTGTAATTTATTATTATATGATAATTCTTTCACTTACAAATTAATATCATAATAAGAAGCCTCATATAATAAGTCTTAGGCCCCTACTATGCCTGATTAATTAATCAAGAATTTAAAAAGATCTTCTACAAGGAAAAATGATTTGCCTTTTAATAATTTATATTATTATTGAGAGAAGCAAAAACGTTTTTGCTAGTCTCTTAAAGTGGTTATATTGTCCTTAAAGTAAGAATAAAAATGTTTGGCTTTTATAGTTGTTGATTGCCCTTTATGGCAATTGATAGCCTCTATTGTTGCGAACATTTTGACTCTTTTCCCCTCCCCTTCTTTAGTAGAGAAGTGGATATAAAAGGTTGAATAGCGGTAAAAAGAAAATCATCCTTTTCTGAAAATAAATTACTTGTCCACACAAAGGTCGTGGTTGAAAAAATTATTCAGGTCATCATCTCTAAACGAGGTTTTTGAAAGCTTCAACAGGTTAGTAATACTTACTTAAATTTCGGTTTTGATTTATATTAACATGTTAATATGTAAGTTTCTGATCCATGATTATACTTCTGTTGCGTACATGATTTATATACTCTAACAACACTAACTCTAAGCAGAGCTGAATCCATAATTTTAAGCTTCTGGTTCCTATTGAGGTACTTATCGGTCTATTGGTTAAATATTTGTGTTTAACATCTCAACTTATTATAGTTATTCATTTTTAATTGCACTAAACCGCCAACCGAATCAATAAGATCATCGGTCGGCCTATGTCATTTTGAAAGATAAAACATACATATGTGCTTCTCTAAATCACAAATAAAATATGTATTGGAAATCAATAAAATAAATTCTAAACTAGTATATCTCCACAAATATAAATATAATAACGTTAATAGACATTATAGTGAGTAGTGACTTAAAATTCTGACTGGATTAACAATTTTGTAATAATATCACCCTCACTTCAACAGTTTCAACCTATTACCTGGCACAAATCAACTCAACCTGACTGACTTCTTTCAATATAAGGCAATTTAAAACAAGTGCGATATAAACAAAAGACTGTTTAAAACCTGCTATAAACTATGTGTGTATACAAAGATACAATAAGCCTGAGATGTATATAGAAATACAAATGAACTGATGTATATAAAAATACAATAACTTATGTGTATGAAAATACAATAACTGCTGTGTATGAAAATACACTAACTGCTGTGTATGAAAATACAATAACTGTTGTGCATGAAAATACAATAACTGTTGTGTATGAAAATACAATAACTGCTGTAGGAGTTTCTCTAACCGACAACCATCACATAGAGCTGTAGTGATGATACAACGATCGACCTTATGCTGCCAGAGCATCCTATACCCGGCCAAAGGTATAAGACCTGAACTGCCTAATGGATCCACTAGTCTATCTGGAAAAGGATTCATCTAAAAAGTATGATCTTTTTCTACCTATGGTGGCTAACATGGTTCTATGGGGGCTGTGGGTTCCTTGAACGCTCCCCCAACTCGGTGCTCGATACTACTCTAAAAAATGTACTGGCTCTTATATTTTAAAAAAACATTTCCTTCCTGCTGATTTGAGATTATTACTCAAAACATAGCTCAAAGGCTATCTTGGAAATCTCAGTTTCCTCTTTTGCTTCATTTAGAAAGCGATAACTCTTTTCTGGAAAACTAGCCCGAAGGCTCTTTGGAAATCTCAGTTTCCAATCTTGTTTAAATGTAAAAACATTTCTTTAAAACTTCTTTGGGAATACATAGTTCCCTAATAATTTTTGAGAAATGAACTCATCTCATACTCTTGGCTTGACTTAAAACTCTTTACTTAACTTAAACCTTGAGCCTTAAAAATGAAGTTAAAACATTCAATAAAGACTCTTGAACAACTTTAAAGACTTGCTTCTTAACTTCTAAGATTAACTCTTAACTTCACTTGACTTGGAAACTAACTCTCCTTGAATTGGATTTATGGATTCAAGGTGTTTGATCACATGTTATGGATGAGTTCTTGACGTTTAGACGTACCTTGGAGTGTTGGAAACAACTATGAAACATCGGTACAACACCTAGGAACATGTATGAAAAAGTTAGGAAGGAATGGGAAAACTTGGCGCTCTGAGAGGCGCGGAGCGCCAAACCAAAAACTTCAGAGGAGGCCTGCTGGCGCACTGCTAGGCGCGCCGCCCCAAGGGGAAAAGTTCAGAGCCCCTCTTGGGGCGCGCTGATAGGCGCGATGCCCCACCCGTTTTTCCCAAAAACCAACTTTTCTTCTTAGTTTCTCCAACTCTAAAGCCTCTCAACAACAAAGATTCTTCTCCCAAACACTTAGAATCATCAAAACCCTCAACTTACGATAGATTTCAACTCACAAACACCACCAGAAACATGTCCCAAATCAACAAGACTTCAACACAATCACAATCAACAACTTCAACAAGCATAATCAATCTTTTCTCGAAATTAAACGAGCTTGGCTTGTGGGGGAAAGGATCAACCCAACACTATGAACTCACATACCTAGTAGGGATCACCCCTGACGATATCCACGACGAATCCTTGCTTGATCTTCTCTTTCTCCTCTTCTTCTCCTCTTCACTCTTAAACCCTTACTCTCACTCTTTAAAAATGAGAAAAAACTGATCAAAATCAGTCTAACACACTAATATATATCCAAAAGAAAAGGCTAGGGAAAAGACCAAAATACCCTTGCAAATTTTCGGGTAAACTGCCCTGCCAACAACCCAACTTCCAAAGGGTATAACTCACTCATACGAACTCGGAATCGAGCAAACTTGGCGGCGTTGGAAAGCTTATTCCACGAAATTTGCAAGCATAACTGGAACTACACCTAATTCATCCTGATCTAGGAGTTATAACTGTTCAAAGCTGGCCAAAAACTCACATTTTCCCATACTTAACCAATTTTTTTCCAGATTTTTAATTCTTTCAAAAAAATGACTATTTACAATTCTAAGCCTCTTCATAGCTATTTCAAATTGCCGGATGTTACAATATCTCCCCCTTGGGAACATTCGTCCTCAAATGAGGTTACTCTTATTAGGCTAAGGGTGTAACATCAAACTCAAATACCCAACAAGCAATCATGCAAACAACAATAACAACATGCTCACTACAATTTATAGAGCACTAAGAAGGAAATTAGTACCTCGATCTGCATTTCCTCCGGATTCAAAGAGATATGGGTATCTCTTCTTCATGTCCTCTTCGGCTTCCCAAGTGGCTTCCTCCGAAGGACCTTAACTGATGCTACATCTTTCGTTCTCAACCTGCGAACTTGACGATCTAAAATCTAAATAGGAATCTCCTCATAAGATAAACTATCCTTGATCCTAACACTTTCAGTCGGCAGGATCAACGAAGGATCGCCTATGCATTTCTTCAACATAGAGATATTAAATACCGGATGGACCGCTGCTAGTTCTTGTGGTAACTCCAACTCATAAGCAACATTGTCAATCCTCTTGGCTATGCGGTAAGGTCCAATATACCGGGGACTAAGTTTCCCCTTTTTCCCAAACCCTATAACCCCCTTCATGGGTGAAACCTTCAAATATACCCAATCACCTACTTCAAACTCTAACGCCCTTCTCCTAACATCAGTGTAGGATTTCTGGCGACTCTGTGCCGTTTTCAACCTCTCTTGAATCACTTTCACCTTCTCCATAGCTTGGTGAACCAAATCTGGTCCTATCAATCCTGCTTCACCAACTTCGAACCATCCAATAGGAGATCTACATCTTCTCCCATAAAGAGCTTCGTATGGAGCCATATGGATGCTAGAGTGATAACTATTGTTGTAGGCAAACTCAATGAGAGGTAGGTGATCATCTCAATTCCCTTTGAAATCGATCACACAAGCCCTCAACATATCTTCTAGAGTCTGATTAGTACACTCTACTTGCCCATTAGTCTGAGGATGAAAGGCAGTACTTAAGTTCACCTTTGAACCCAAGC